ATATCAACTAAAAATTTTTTTTAAATTACAAATATATTTTCTATATCTTTAAATATATTTCTATAAAATTTTTTTCATACTTGCTTATAAAAAATATTTATAAATAATTTTTTATAGCTCTTTAACCAGGGTAGCTCCCGGGTCCGCCATATTCGACACATGATTCCGCAAAATATTACTATGTTAACATGCTTTGTGACCTTAGAAAATTTTGTTCCGTCATCCTAAAGAATATAATGCCAAATATTTACGATATTTGAGTAATTCCTTGTTAAGATATTAATGAATTTCGGCGAAAAACATGACCGCCATTACTTTCCGTGTTGACTGTATTAACTATCGCTATGTTGTGTTTGTTAACGTTAAAACACAACAAACAAGAGCGGTTTCTATTGTTTGTCGACCTCTGTGTTTACATATACAACTTTATTATTTTAACCACTACTTTTTATCAAAATTTAGTATTTATCGGAGCACTTTTGGAATAATGAAACACAAATGGAAGTTAAATCATAAATGGCTTTCTTCTGTAAGAACAAAGTTTATGATTTAGTGGAATTATCTAAATCGATTTGCTTGTCATCGCATTAATGAAAAACCTTTTATTATTTACACACACATATGGAAATCGCTATACGTAACGGTGGGGTACGTATTTGGTCCACTATGTAGATCAAATTTATGTATAGTCTCATATGTACGTAAAATGATTATATAGACCAAATTTTTGTGCAATATATATATCGATATATGAAATACATGTACATGTTATAGAATAACAATAAAGGATAAAAAGTATTTTTTTTAATTTGTTAGCATCAAAAAGGCATTTAGCATTAGATGATCCTGAACAATGATAGAAAAACAAATGATAATTCACCAATATGTTCATCCTCCCCCAACCCGAAAACGTCGTCGTTTAATCATATGCTACAATAATTGAATACAAGTTGATGAAAAAATGAGAAATATAAATTATTCATTTGTCATTATCGTTATATGCAAGATCACTATTTAATGTACTTCAACATTTAAAATGAATGAAATTTACTTTGTGAATACGTTAAGGTGTGTAGTTTAAAAAACTAACACTAATGTGATATCGAATGTCGCCGCAAGATACACCAATCACGTGCGAAAGATAATCGAGTAAATAAAATATTTTCTTTGCTCGGTCTCGTTGCGAGGTTTTCTCGCCCTGCATTACGTACTCTCCGATCAAAAGTCTTTTCCCTAGCTTCGCAAAAAAGAACCAGAGCTAAGTCTACGTATGAGCTCCTCCTAGCGAAGATGAGTCAGACACGTTCTACCTCCCTTCTTCGACATCGAAGTTTGTAAAAGAAGATATGGCGGAGCTTCAAGCTGGATTCAGCCAAGAACGATGTAATACCTGATGTTGAAAGTAAGAACTACGTTTTTTTTAACAAACCTCTTAGCAAACGTATACTTAAAATTTAAATATTTTCTAGCCACGGACATTCCCGAAGAGTATTTTTTGGATAATGTCAACAGGTATACGCTCCTAGACGAAAACTTCAATGTCAACAGGATTGACAGAATTTCGGATGTACACGTCAAAACCAGCATGAACATAGATGTATATAGACACGGATGAACCTAAGACTGACACGGTAGTAGCTTATATGCTACTTCGCGTTGTTGACTTCGGTAGTTGGCCCTTGAGTAATAATGGAAATGTCCTGTTTGTTATGTACTCGAATGATTTCCTTAAGTTTGCATTACATCCAAATCTATAATGAAGGAACGCTACGAACTATTCGTTAGTGATAAGACTGTGACGGCAATACCCGACTTTGTAGTAAATAAGGAACAAACTACTAGGATAGTTGTGGCTTTCTGTGTGTTTTCGATTATTGACGAGCCTGTATTTTTTGACGACTCAAAAATCATTTTCTTAATACGATAAGCATTTGAGAAACATTAAGCCAAAGACTGATTTCGGGAAAGCGCAAATTCTTGCCGAGATATTCGCCGTTGCAGATGTAAATATAGTCGAAAAGACACGGATCAGACTCTATTTGTCGTTCGCGCTATCTCCACATATGTTACTACAAGGTAGTGGTTCCTAAAGCATATTTTAAGGAGCTTAGTAGATGTTTGCTGGAAATGCAGTCAGTTGTGGTTCAACGATGGCCAGGGCAAAATGGTTTGAGGACTGGTTAGAATCTTGCAGAACCAGAAGAAAGAAAAGCGGTACTTACAATATTGATTAAAATTCGTCAATATCTTTTGCAATAGATGGAAGCATTCTTTAGTTTATTTTCGCGTGCTTTATTTTCATAACGATTTATAATAAAGAATTCCTATTGTCATAATAAGAATTTTCATCTGACTTGCGTATCAATTGATGTTGTTATTTTATTTCACGTAGTGGGGCCGTGCTTGTAATAATTCGTTAATCTGTTAATCGAATTTGCCTTTCAGCTGAAAATCTCGACCTTCATTTCTAAGCACAAGGAATGGATCTTTTGATCTTTATATAACATTTCCGCAATTATGTATTAATGAATTTTTTTCTTTAGTCTATAATTATGCTGGACTTACCTTAAAAATTCTGAATTCGATTCTTAGGCTGTAGAAGTTAATAATAAGTTGAGTTAGGTTAGTCTGTTAATCGGTAAAGAAGAACAAAAGATTTTGATTTTCATTATTAATAATGGTGGAAGAAATCGAAGATAAGAAGATAAGTATGAAGGTTGATCTTGATTAATAATTTTTGTAATTTCATACTAATTATTCTATTTTCTCAACCGCATTGAAGGATTGGAATATGTGAAGCAGGAGCGAAAAAATAATTCCTGAGTTGTTCCATCAAATTATCCGCATCACGACCGTAGCATAGTTCTTTTTTTCGCAAATACCGATCATATATTCTAGAGGTCTGTTGATCCAGCATTTTGTGATATCCAATTTCTATTGAGAAAGTATTCGCTTCTTGAACTGCTACAAAACATATGAAAAGAAGATAGATTTTACTAGTTGATCTTTTTATTTTTATCTGCTTTGTACAAGTAAAATGAAAATCTAATAAAATTTCAAACTTACTTTTATTTTAAGCTTCTGAAAAAAATCTGATTCAGTTTGAACTTGAATCTGGTTTGAAGATTTGAATCTAATATGAACTTTAAGTCTGACTCAAACCTAATTAAAAATCTGATTCAAGTTCAAGTAAATATTCTAAGTAAAGTTATAAATTATAATTGAAGTTATAAATTAATAATAAATATTTAGAATTATATAAATTTAAAAAATATTTTAATTATTATAATTTCTAATTCACTTTAGTTATATTATAGTAAACATTTATTTTTTAATAAAAATTATAAATTATATTATAACTAAAGATAATATTACAAATATATAATACTTATTTATTATTAATATATTTATTTATTTATAATTAATTATAATTAAAATCTATAAATTATAATAAATAACAAATAAGTATTATATAATTATAACTTTTATAATTAAAAATAAGAATTACAAATTATTATAAAATATAGTAGTAATTATAAATATTTGAGCATTTAGTATTATTCAAAATTATATTATAATAATATTATAAATTAGTAGTATTTATATCAAATATTATATATAATTAAATATTTTTGTAATCATTACTATTTATAATTACACATCTTTATAGTTACTTTATTTTACTTTCTCATTTATATATAAATATAGTGAAAAATCTCTTTATAATCATATTTTTTCTATAGTCACTTAATTTTGCTTTTTTATAAAGAGAGTTAATTATATTTGTAAATTTTTAGATTACAAATATAATTAGTTATTTTACAATATATATCTCAATATTTAAAAATCTGATTTTTAATATTTAGTAATTCAATTTGAATAAAAATATTATTATTAATTTATTTTAATTAAATAAATTAAATGATAATATTTTGTTTAAATTATATTACTAATATTAAAATATTATATTTTTAAGTAACTAATTCTTTTTTTAATATTGACAAAAATTAATTAACCAATTTAGAATATAATATTTAATATTCTTATTTGAATAAAAATAATATTATTTAATTTATTTTAACCAAATAAATCAAATAGTATTATTTTATCCAATTAAATTACTAAAAATTTAAATATTATATTTTAAATTAATCAATTTATTTTTTTGACAATTAAATTTTAATAAAAAATTGATTAATAAATATAAATTTGTTACTTAAAATATAATATTTTAATATTTAGTAATTCAATTTGAACAAAAATTAATATTATTTGATTTATTTAGATTAAACAAATTAAATAATATTATTTTTGCTTAAATTAGATTACTAAATATATACTTAAAATATAAATAAATATAAATTTTAATAATTTTTAATTATTTACTTATAAATAGATTTTTGGCTCACTTCATTTTTTTTTAGCATATTTTAATAATATTTTAAAAGAGTAAATTTACTTTTTACTTTAAATATTCTTTTTAAAATTATATATATACTTAGTGAACAAAATTTTGCAATCAGAAATTAATTTTATTAATAAAATATAATTTTAGTTTTTATATTAAAATAAAATTTATAAGTTATAGTTTAATATATATTTTCTCATATTTTTAGATTTTTTCTGAAGAAGTTGTTCTAATAACAAAGTTATTTCAAAAATTTTTCAATTAAAATAAAATTTAATTAGAAAAAATTTTTGTAATAACTTTGTTATTAGAACAACTTCTTCAAAAAGAATCTAAAAATCTGAAAAAAATATATGTTAAATTATAATTTATAAACTTTATTTTAATATAAAAACAAAAATTA